AGTAGTAAATAATTGGAGCAGCTAGGTGGCAAAGTGGATAGAGTGCTGGACTGGTGTGAGGAAGACTCGTCTCCATGAGTTCAAATCTGGCCTCAGGAACTTACTGTCTGTGTGATCCCAGGCAAGTCAGTTAACCCTGTTTGCCTCTGTTTCTTTATCTGTAAAATGAGCTGTAAAAAATCACTTCAGTATCTTTGCCAAGAAAACTCTATATGGGATCACAAAGAGTCAGACCCGACTGAAAAAAATGACTGAACAATAAGAAAATAAATAGCAGAGGCACAGAGACAAGCATAGGTAGGAAAATCCAATGTGTGTCCTGAGGGAAAAGAATAATTCAGCTTGGCTAGAGGGTAGAGTATATGTAATGGAGTGTTATATAACACTGTCTTATACTACTAGAATAAAAGCCTGGGAAAGTATAATAGCATCAGTTTGTGGAAAGCTTTGAATGCTAAGCAAAGTAGATTGAACTTTACTTGGTAAAACACAGGAAGCCACTGAAGATTTTCAAGCAAAGGCATGACATGATTAGATCTATTAATAAGGAACCCTAGTCTGGCATTGCGTAGAAAAATAAATTAGATGGGGAGAGAAGAGAGGTAGGAACATGTGTTTGAAGACTATTGCAAAAAATGAGGTGAACAATACTAAAATGACCTTCTCTAGGTTGGTTGCAGTGAAAATATAAAAGAGGGGATGGTTTTGAGCAATAGCATAGAAGTGGAATTAGCAAGACTCTTTTGATGACAAGCAAGGGAAAGAAAAAAACCTTACCTTGGGATATGTTGATGTGGTAAGACATCCAGGCGGAAACAGCTTAAAGGCAGTTGGAATTGCGGGTCTGAAGCTCAAAAGAGATGTCACGGCTGGACTTAAAGATTTAGGAATATTCTGTACAGAGATAGTAGTGGAAGCCATGAGACTACGTGTGATTGCCAGGGGAAAGGGTTATAGAGAGAAGAGATACTAGGAACTAAACCTTGCAGTTCATCTTCCTTGAAGGTATTAGGAAAAGGATAAAGAGTCAGTGAAAGAGTAAAAGAAGTTGTTTGAGAGGTAGGAGGAGAACCAGGAGAGTAAAAACCAAAGGAGAAGAGGAGAGTATCCAATAGAAGAGAGGGATCAATAGTGTCAGACGCTACAGAGAAGACCAGAAAGTATGAGACTTTAAAACAAAAGAAAAAGGACCTTGGATTTGGCAATGAGATGGTCACAGGTGACCTTAGAGATTGGTTTCGCAAGAGTGATAGGGTTAAAACCACTCTTCTGCAAAGGGTAAAAGAGAGAGTATGTGGTGAGGAAGCAGAGGCATCAAGCTTTAAGTGTATGTGACATACATGCATGTATCTGTATACAAATGTTTATTGTCATTCAAGCATATTCAAGATGGACCATTGAAATGTGTTCGTACTAAAGTAAACAGATTTATAGACCTCCCTTTTAAAGAATTGTCCCACGGTTTACTTCATTCTTCCACTGAGCTTGCTTCTTTTCCCAATCGTTCTCTTCTTAGCTGGCTTCTGTCTTCAGGAATGCTCATAAAACCCTCGCTCATTTCTACCATGTGTGTGATTTCTCTTTCAGTGGGCTTCTCCCCTTCGCAAGGCAAGAGGCCTGGCTGCATTGAAGCTGACTCAAGGTCCACTGAACCCTTGTCATTCCCAAGAACCTCCATATATATGTGCTGAAAGTCTATGCCTCTGACTTTCAGAGATGTTTCTCCTGAAGCAGGAGAAACAAAAAAGGACCCTGATAGAATTGCATTGCATTAATCCAATACAAACTATTACATAGAAATTTACGTTACTTTATCTTAGACCAGATTTGCAGTTTGTTATGGCAAATGACGTGGCTCTGGCAGGGTAGGATGCACAGTGGAGTTATATTGGACCAACTTTGTGCCTCAACGTGTATGTGGACTTGGGCAAGTCTCTGAACTTTTCTGGGGCCCAGATTCCTCATATATAAAGTGAGGAATTTTACTAAATGACTTCTTTAAAGTTGCTTTCAACTCTAACATCATAGGCTCAGGCAAATCCTATGCCATTTAACTCATTGGAATTCAACTAGATCCACTCAGCTACATTCATACATAGAGAGACAGACAGAGGGGACAGATGGATGGACAGATAGATAGATAGATAGATAGATAGATAGATAGATAGATAGATAGATACACAGGTACATAGAAGAATAAAAGTTTAAATGGTACAATAATTACAACTGCCTTTCTCAATAAGCCCCAGAGTAAGACATGAGATAAGGGGTTCATTACCTGGGTTGATATATGGATTTTGGGAGTCTGTAAATTTGGATGGGGAAAAAAAATCTTTATTTTCACTAACCATTGGTTCCTTTGTCATCCTGTATATTTTATTTTATGCAATTAAAAATATTATTCACAGAAGGGTCAATAAGCTTCACCAGACTGCCAAAGGGGTCTATGACATAAGAAAGATGAAGCATCCTTGCATTAAAATTACAATCTTAAATCTACTTCTCTTTCAGCCTCCTGCCTGCATGCTCCCGGCACTGAGTTAATATACAATCTTCTCTTCATCACACCCATAGACACTCTCATCATCCTACTTAAAAGCTGGTAGAGTTCATGAGAGGGACAGCCTTAGCTGGCCATTCTAGCACTTCTGATAAACTGGAAGACTTTCAATGTATCTATGTCTTTTTTTTTTCATTATGAAACAAGAAGAAAGTTATAAGGAGATGTAACCCCTCAAATGCCCTTTCAAGGGCTTCCCCCATCATTAGTTTTCCTGCCAGCTAAGTTTTCACCTGTTTTACTTTCTTCTATTTAACTACAAGTCCTTGTTCCCACCTGTCTTCTGATCATTAGCTAAAGTCATAAGTTCTCCAGTGTATTTAATGGACCCCTGGCTATCCCTGACACCCTTTCAATAATTCAATAATTATTGAATAATAATTATTATTATTATTCAACAATAATAATACAAAAATTATTATTTTTTGTAATAAAACTAAGACATTATATGCTTATTAAAATTCTCTTTCCTTTTCCAACTATATTATCTGTGAGAAACCAGATGTTCTTCAACCAAAATAACTTATCACAACAGATTCAATATAGAAACAGATATGAGAATCCACCTATCTCCTATTAAGCCAAACATCAAAGAAGTTTGCAAAAATATGTAAAACAATGCCACTTTTCTCATTAGAATTATTTGTTTTGGAAAATACACCTATTTTAATAAAAATTTTATTTATATTTAGATGTAATAAGTTTACTATTATTTTAAATGAATTAACAATTTTAAAAAATTTTAGCACCTTTAATTTCTAGTATGGTAAATATCAGTAGATATAACCCCACGTTAACAAAAGCTCTTTGGGGTCCTGAGACCAAAAAGTTTAAGAACCTCTCATTCATAAGGATTCATGAAAAATACAATTCAAAATCAGCTGTTTTCTCAGCTCTACTACTCTGTGATACAGACTGCCCTCTTTTACAGAGACACTATCCTTTTCCAGCAACAATTGTTTAATAGTACTGTTCTATACTTTATGGGTGACTGTTGGGATTTTCTGGGAGTAGTTTTGTCTATTTAGAAAGGCTTACTTTGGAACTTAACCTCCTACTTTCCCAGAGTGCAACTGCTCTGCTGTACTCTTAAACAATTGAAGATAGATTTTTAAGATCAAAAATTTAAAATGGAAAAGGATCTCTCAGAAGCATTGTAGTCCAAACGCCTTATTTTACAAATGAAGAAACTGAAGCCCAAACAGGTTAAGGGACTTGCCCAGGGTCACACAGCTAGTAAGTATCACATTTGAATTCAAGTCTTCCTGACTCCAGGGTCGGTGCATTATCTACTGCGCTGCCTAGCTGTCTAGCTGCTTTTTTAACCACTGCTCTGTGTGAGTACATTTTGTGTGTGTGTGTGTGTGTGTGTGTGTGTGTGTGTGAGAGAGAGAGAGAGAGAGAGAGAGAGAGAGAGACAGAGACAAAGGTTAGGTGTCCTCTTGAGGAAAAAATAAGATTCCTTTGGATTAAGTAAAACTTTAATGATCGGATGCCTTGAAGAGACAAAACTGAATTTTTTATTGTAGTCTTTAAAAAAAAATGTGACCAGCATGCAGATTGCCTTATCTTCTTCCAGAAATGGTATATTTTCATTTTTCTTCATCACACATGTTCAAGTGACTGATTCAACTCTGAATTGTTCTCAGTGCCTTTTGAGCAATGCTATAGTGGGCAGAAGGGTTTGTGGTCTTCAGGACTGGAGCCTGCAACTAGATCTCCAATGACCATCCTTCCCATACTCGTCTTGCCCCCACTTCTAGTCATTTATTTAGAAAGGAAGCTAAGTGTCTCAAGTGCTCACATCACCTGAAGATTTCCACAGCTTTAAAAAATGCTTGGGGGGGGGGGTTGTTGTTTTTTTTTTTTACTTTATTTGGAGTAAAATATGAAAGAGCTCTGAGAGAGCCCCTAACTTCAGAATCCTGGCATCAAAGAAGATAGAGGGGAAGTTGGAAATGGGCAAAGGCCTCTGAGGGAAAATGGCCAGAGGGCTTTGACACTTTAGAGTTAGTCCACTTGAATGTTAAGTACTTTTAAAAATTCTCCCTTCTTCTGTCAGTAGGAGGTAAGCCCCATAATAAAGGTCAGCTTGCATATTGCCAGTCTTAATGCATCACATGGCACTGCATCTTAAGCAGTCATTCATGGCTCTCTCTTAACTGAACTTCCTTTGCACAGGACTGACAGGCTCATCACTACTGATGTGTGGTACCTCTTTACTATACTTGTCTTTGTAATGCACATACTGCTGTATTCTCTGTAACCATCTGTATTCACCATATGTACCTTACTCTTAACACACAGGATGCTTGGCACTTAGAAATAGCTTGATAGGCAAAAGGGCACGATAACTTTTTTTTTTTGGTCTGTTTGGCAATTAACCATTCACTGGCTTTTTTTGTTGTAACATGCACTTCCTCTCTTGTTTTCATTCAAGCTGTGTACGCCATGGAAATTAATGTGGAGAAAGACAAACAGACAGGAGAGACCAAGATTCTCTCTACATCAACCATTGGCCCAGAGGGGGTCCATCAGAGAGGAGCCAAAGTCTATGATGATGGTACCAAAGTAGTCTATGAGGTGCACTCGGGAGGTACCGTGGTAGAGAATGGAGTTCATAAATTAAGCTCAAAGGATGTAGATGAATTTATTCAGAAAGCTGGACAATCAAACATTAGAGGAGGACATGAAGCAAAGGCTTTGTCGGAGAGGACTGTGATAGTAGACGGGAGACTCGGCCAAACAAACGAACAGATGCTCTGCAAGGAGGCAAAGTTAGAAATGGTCCACAAATCACGGAAAGACTATTCTGCCGAGAGCCTAGAACGACAGGCGAAAGTCCCTAGAGCTGAAGTCCCAGATGGGAGCATGGACCAGCCAGTGACCATGATTTTCATGGGCTACCAAAACATAGAGGGTGAAGAAGAGGCTAAAAAGGTGCTAGGGTATGACGAGACCATCAAAGCTGAATTGGTGCTCATCGACGAAGACGATGAGAAGTCACTTCGAGAGAAGACAGTGACAGACGTGTCCACTATTGACGGAAATGCCGCCGAGCTTGTCTCCGGGAAGCCCATCTCGGACACCACAGAGCCCTCCTCCCCTGACGTGAAGGAAGAAAGCCTGGCCACAGAACCAGTTCCAGGTACCCAAAAGAAAAAACGCTGTCAGTGCTGTGTTGTCATGTGACCACTTCTCTCTCCTCTCTCCTTCTGAGGAGCCTCTGCTCCCTCTGTCACTTACATAGACCTCTTTGTACAACTAACTGCAATACTGTGAACTGGAAGTAAAGGCCTTCATTGCCTTGCAGGTGGATGGCTTTGATTTCGCTTTCCTCAATAAACTGAACCATGATGTTCTTATTTTGCTTTTACCTCCATCAAATGTATTCTTTCTCTTTTACTTTTTTTTCTTACCAGTTTTCCCAATCAAGGGGCGAAGGATGTGTAATTATATTTATCTTATGGTTTTTTTTTCTTATGGAGTTGCTTTACTCTCTCTCTCTCCTTTCTTTCTTTCTCTCTCTCTCTCTCTCTCACACACATACACACACACACACACACACACACACACACACACACACACACACACACTTTGATGTGGGTCTGAAAAACTGACTCAAATTTATACTGCTTTGTTGAAGTCTGCTGTTCAGTTAGCCACTTATATGTAGTAGCCTTAAGTCCTTTCCCTGAAATAGAATATTTGTTAGGGTTTTTTTTTTAATTCTGTGGCATGTTTCTAAAATATAGTCCTAACCTGTCCCCAAGACTTTTTATGAATCTTTTTAACATGAGCCTCCATTTTTAGGTCATGAGTGATAAAATGCTGTTGGTTATACCTAGGTGTTAGGGATAGAGGGTGATGCTTCATCCTCTTTTAACCTGACTTAAGCTTCCAGATTACAGTATTGTGCAGCTACATATTTCCTTCAGTGAAAACTGAAATGAACTGGACAATGAAAAGAATCCATCGTTCAACCAAAATGAAATTTAGATACTCATTCCATAACCTGTCAGGAACTGTCCATCACAGCTGATGATCTCTGTGTATAAAAGCTGCCATTTTAAAAAAATTTTCTAAGAACATGAAACAAACATTGTTTTACATATTGACTTATCTCCAGACTTGAAGGAGGCAGACGACAGAAACATGATCTAGTTTCTATTCTCTCAAAAAGAGAAAAGTAAATTTTTCTATTAAGACATGTGTGTGTTTTTTTCATGGCTGTTTTCTGACATTTTAACAAAGGGATTATTTTAAAGAATCTCTCTCAAGTGACCATATTTCTCAAATAGTGTTTCCAACCTAAGCTTGTTTTCTATGATATTTCTCTTCTACCATGGATGGTGCTTTAAATGCATTAACTGCTGAATCTACATACACTCTGTGTTCTTTTCTTTCTGTCCAAGTTACAGTGCTTTATAGATAACTTCAGCATGAAATCTTGCCCACTCTACCACAAAATGAAAGACTAAGAAAGCTCCATAAATATTGAGCTAGATCTGAGATCAAATGACCAGATCCAATTTCTGAGGGGGACCAATACAAATTTTTAAAAGGCAGTTTTGTGAATATAGACCCAGTATTGGCTGAATTGGCCCCAGTGACAACTTGCTTGATACTAGTATGTGAAAACATTTTTTTATTTCCAATTTTAATTTCTTGGCCTGACATTAGGTTTATTTTTATTTAGAAGAGTAAATGTTGTTATCTGCATGACATCTTTTGTGTTTTTAGAAGCAACTTATGGCCCCAAAGTATTTTGTATACAGTTTTCCAGAATATGACGTCAATTATGTTAGCTTTAATTTTACAGATGAATGAAATTGAAAGGGGTAGTTTTTTTTATTCCATGGGGAGGTTATAGCCACTTGAGGATGAGAAGTTCTAAAAGATGTGGTTTGCCAAAATAACTGCCTTTGAAAAAGCTGTCTAATTTAGAAGCCAAACTTTGTTTGAAGTAAACTTGGCTAACCTCAATTATATTCCGGTCTACAAATTAATATTTATTTTAAAATTCAATGAGATAATCAGCCAGGGCAATTTATAGGCAGATACCTGCCTGTATGAAAAGAGAAAACATCCAGTTTAAAAGAAATAAACTAGCTTAAAACAGAGCATCTTGGTTTTGACAATACATTATTTTTGTGTTTTATTGTAGAGAAGAAACAGCATGAAAGCATGTTGTAACTTATCTTTTTCAATTTATTCAAGACTTTGAACTATCCAATATGGTTTGGGGTTTTTTTTTTTAAGCCATGAGCAGATAAATATAGAATGATAGCTTAAGTTTAGCATTTTTTTTTGGTACTTTCCAAAAACACTGAGTCTAATTCTCCCAAGTAAAAAGCTGTGACCTGGAAGAAATTCCAGCTTCCACAAGTGCCTGAGTTATTCCCAAATAATACCTTGTGTGTTTAAAGAATGTTTTCCACTTCTAAAGTCCCCCCAAATCAACTAATATCCAGAGTAGAAAAATAACAATTAGCAAATTAAATAAATTAGATTTTTATTTATCATTGTAGTTACAAGCCTGATTAGTCAATAGTTTTAAAATTAAAATGTTCTCACTTCCATCTTTATTAAAGTCATTCATGCTTAGGAAGAATCATTTAAGTCTTTGAACTTCTCACATCTTTTACTTCCCAACAGGGACAGAGGTTCAGCCAATACCTGTAATCAAGGCATAGTCTCACTCAGCTTTCAGGTTCTAAATACTAGACATGTATAAAGAGACCCCAAAGTCATGAAACTCCTAATTGTTCTTCACGGTTGCTCTTGTTAGATTTTCTGCCTTTAGCTACAATGTTGTATGTGGTATCATTCTCTTCAAAGCCAACAGTATTCCTTTACATCAGGGGTTCTTAACCTTCTCTGTTTATGTGTGTCATAGACCCTCAGCAATCTGGTGAAATCCATGGACCCCCTCTTCAGAATTATTATTTTAAATGTATAATATAAAATATGTAGATTATAAAGGAAAAAGTTATATTGGAAATATTTTTAAAATATGTTTACAGATCCCATGAATATAGTCATTAAAAGTTTACTAAACAGTTCAAACATGGCTTTTTGATTCCTTTGACTCCTAAAGCCTAAGGCTTTTTTTCATCCTAAGTAAATTTTGTAATTTTCATTCTCAAGAAACAAGTACTGGAGGAAAATTGGGAGATGCTGAAATTGTGCCTCCATTGCCAATAACTGTATATTTTATATCTGTAGACTTAACCTACAGAAGTTGCATTGAGTTATGATGAGAGTTCTCTAAAACTATACTTAAAACTGAAATAAAAACTTTCCTGCTTGAGGCCCCCAGAGTAATTAGACATCATTCAGTGGCTTTCAAGCAAGCCAAATACCTTCAGAAGTCATTTGGGCACATTTTGAAATGCTAATTAAAAAAAAAAAGAAGTCGAATTTGCATTTACTCTTTTGTCCAGGTGATGAAAAACATCTACCCTAAGGACAAAGTAAGTGTCCTTTTTTAACTAATTTTGGAAAAATTTTTGATGAACAGAAAACCAATCACCTGCATAAAACATGAATATCTCTAGAATTCAGGCAAGGTTAAAAAAAAATACAGTTTGCCTTCCATCCTGTGTCCTTGTTATAATTTGCATTTCAGAAACTGTAGAAAATCCACCGGAAAATACCTCATCAGCAGTGCAAATTTACTGCTTAAGGAGAAGGAAATTGTCCTGGTGTGCAGATAATTGCAAAAGTGTAATGACCTTGATAAAAAACCCTGTATAGTAGAACGATGGATAAATATTATCACAGTTTTTACTAAGATATATTTTAATTTTTATCCAGAATGTAGAAGTATGGGAATTTTTTAAAGAGAGGGTGATCTTCTCTCTATGTCAATCCTTGCTTTGTAAAGTGAGGATTGTGATATATGGTTTTACCAACCAGAGACTCATCTACTTGCAGGAACTCTAGTATATTGATGGAAAAGTTTTTAAAGGCAGTGTTGTGTTTTCACAACCAGCATCATAAAGTTAAGTCACAGGTTTCTCTCTGCATTTAAAATAGGATGTGATTATCCAAAATCCTACCTGTTGACAATTTTTCAGAAACACACCTAGTGCTTAAGCAAGTCTGAATAGGACAAGTCTTAGTCAGAAGATTTGATTTATCATCTTTGCCACAGTTAACCCATTCAGAGAACCTGGGAATATCAGTCCCACTGGGTGTAGACAACTATGGAGAATCAGCTGGACTAGATTTTTTTCCCATTTCTTTGACTTATGTACACCAGGCCTGGTCTTTTCTGAAAATGAAGAATTTTTATGATAACGTTGCATTGAATTGAGCATTTGCCTATAGCACTGACTTGTCACCAAGATTTCCTATTTTGGATCATAATTAGGAAATCAGACTGCATTTTTCATAGTTCCACCAAACTCACTACATAATACTTCTTTTTATTTAAAAAAAAACCTTCTAGAAGTTGAACATGGATACCTACCTGCACAATCAAGATCCAAACAAAAGCTCCATTCTTTCATTCATTTGAGAAGCATTCATTAAGCACCTACTGTGTGCCAAGCACTGACCTAGACAGTGGGGCTATAGAGGAAAACAAGTAGGCCCTGCCCTCAAGGACCTTTATACTCCACATCATGAAGGATACAGAGCAAGTTTTCAAGCTTAATCTTTAGAAAAGTTTATTGGGGTTTTTGTTTGTTTTTTACTTAAGAGGACCTCAACTCCCGAACTCCATTAAAAGTTAAATATATGTAGATCAAAACTGCAACATGAAAAACTCCTTACATGGTGAAATGTACTGAACTGCATGATTCTTCCATCAATGATTATTATGGTTAGCCTTAACTTTTATAAAAAATACATTTTTCAATATTCATTTTTACTAAATAGGGAAAAAATGATTCCCTGTGAAACTTAAAAAAAATACTTTGTGAATTTTTTCTAAGTTTCTACACTTTGGGGTATCATGATATTTCTTTTCCCCTCCCCACTGTTCGTCATTCATCTGGGGCTGGGTTTTTTGTTTTTTGTTTGTTTTTTGCAAAGCATTGAATTTTTGTCAGAAAGTTAAAAAAAAAAAGACCCTTGGGACAAGAGAATAGAAGTACAGAAAGAAAAGAATTACAGGGTGGCTTTCTATTCGTTTACCTATAGCTGATGTACTGTATGGTTTATGTTTACAGAACTTATCTGATTTGCCTTTGTGAAGTTACCTAAATGAATGATAAAATAGGTCTGATGGACCATTTGACTGTTTGCCTTAGTACTCTATTTATTTTTCTTCTTTTCTGTCCTTTTCAATAATTCAGGCTGTATTCCAAAGCTGTATAAACACAACATTCTCTTTTGCAACCCCTTAGTGCAAGTGTCAGAGCCCAAGCCTCCTCTGAAATGTAATTAAAATCCAGGATCCTTAAGACACACACAAAAAAATTCCCATGAGCACAAGTGATCTACAGGGTCTATAATGTAGGCAGTATCTTTGTATCTGTACCAGCCAATCGGACATCTTTCTGTGTTCCTATTTGAATTTGTGATACCATAGAAATATAGCATGTCAGAGCTCAAAGGGACATCAGAGGTCATCTTATCAAATCTCCTCATTTTACAGAAGAGGAAATTGGGGTGCAGACAGAGGAAATTACTAACCAAGGATAACACAATTAATGAAAGAGCTGAGAATAGAATCCCAGGCCAGGACTCTTGTCATTATATTATGCTGCCATATCCTATATTTAGGAGTCAGTAACTAAGGTAAAGTTTCATTTTTGTCCTAGAGAATTCCTGCCAGGGCTTTCTCCCATATGAAAATCATTATCTATAGTGTATGCATTTCTACACACTCTTATTCCTCTATCTAAATGTGTAGTTGCAATAATTTCTGCAGTGTAATATTAATAGAACATTTATTCATGTTTCTGAAAGATATATTGAAGATATACTGAAATTCACCTTAGTTACTGACACCCTCATAATATGGTAGTGCCAGTGAAAAACATTTAGTAGCCAACTTGCTGTTGGTTTTGCTGCTCTTGCCCAGAGTTGGTAGTATAGTGATAGTATATATCTAGGTCTAAGAGAGCTTTTTTTTCTTTTTCTTTTTAATTAAGCACAATAAGAATGGCATGAGACATATTAAGGGAAATCCATTGTTGATGTCTAGTTTCAAAGAAGAGTCATTAACTTTGCCTAATACTATTAATAATGTGCTATGGAAATAAGTGAAGAGAGGTAACATAATGTAGTATTTTACATTTATGTATTTTTTAGAGGAATAATATTTTTCTAATGAGATAACATATTCTGTAAACTTAGTTTGAAAACACTGCATTCTTGACAAATGGAATCATTTCCACCCCACTATTAGGATGACAGTTTTGCAGTGGGCTTTACAGAGCTCACCCAAGCCTTGGGTTCCAGAAACAGGTTCACAGATACCTTTGTCAGAGAGATTATTGACCCTGCCTTACCACTAAATAAAAACAGGTGGTGGGATTGTCCATAGAATGACAGAGCTGGAAGAGATCTCAGAGATCATCTAGTCCAATCTCATTTTACAGATGAGGAAACTAAGACACATCGAGGTTAAATGACTTGCCTAAGTCACCCCAGTGGTGAACATCAGAGCTGGAGTCCAAATTCATGCACTGGTCCAGATTTAGCATTCTTTTCCACTGTAGCACTGTTTTCAGCCAACACTGACCAAAAGATAGAATTTTTTCATACCTAGCATTAGATCAGATAACATTTTTTAAAAATAATTTAATTATACCAGCGGTGGTATCTCATCAATTGATCCTTTGAAAGAATTAATAACTTCCCAGCAGCTATGGATATCTAATAGGTTAATAAAGTCCAGGAGGGATCCGAGTCAAATTTTCTCAATGATTTCAGGAATAACAGTATAGTTGAAGTTGAATGAAAAAATCACTATGCTGTATTTTGTTGGCATTTCAGAAACATCTGTGTGCCTAAGATCTGTCCATAAATGCATAAAACGACAAAAGCTACAAATTACAGTATCCTGATATTCTGCCTTATAAATATCAGTGGAGAAAGAGAACATATTTAAAACAATAGAATAATTCTTATTCTCCATATATGAGTGATTTCCAACCTGTTGTGAAATGTACCCCAAAGCTTTCAAATTCATTCTTTCTGCTGAATGTCACCATTCCTAATTGCACATGTCCTTAGTTTTCCCCAGATCTTCCCCAGGTGCAACATCATAGCTCAGTCAACACTACCTATTAAAAAAAAAAAAAACACGAACATTTAAAAAAAGTTGCCTACATCTCGCATCTTTACACAGTTTCCAAGCACAGATAGCTTTCTTCAGACCTGAGGAAACTAGACCCTAAAGGATGCATTTTGCATTTAGCCCTCTGAATCTCCTTTGAGGATTTAGATTTCTCATTCTTAGTCACTGCATAAAACAAAACAAACAAACAAAAAAGGGTGATTTAGTAGCAGTTAGTATTTTATCTGATCAAACAAATAGACTCCTCAGTTGGTTTCAGAAAGTTACCAGAAGTCTAGCTAACAAGCACTTATTAAGTATCTGCAATAAGTCAGGCACTGTCCTAAGTGCTGGAGACACAAAGAAAGGTTTTAAAAAAGAAAAGCCAGCGCTCCCAAGGCATTCACAGTCTAATGAAGGAGAGAAGCCCTCCCATGTCCTGTCCAGTTTTCTCTTGTATGTCATTTGGGCTCTTTTCAAATAGGTCCCACTCAAGATCAGCCATTATTTTGGATGAGCACCTCTGTAACAGAAGCATCTGTGCAACCAAAGTCTAGTGAGAGGAGCACCGTGCAATTGTCCATAAGAGCTGATCTCTAAAAGCCTGCTTTGTCTTAGAGCAGGGAAAGCATCTCTCAGAGAGAAAATGTGTCTCCTTGGTTTTGCAGCAGCTAGCAACAGCTCATGCAGTAGAGGACAAAGCATAAGTCCTGGTTAGAACAAAAAGAATCCAGTGGAGTGAAATGATGTTTCAGAAAATGGAAAGAAGTTCCTATTATTTTATGGTTGGTTGGTTGCTGGGGTTTGGTGGGGCAAGGGAATGGAGGGGGTGCATATTTTTCCTCTTCTCAAACTTCAAACCTAGATACATTTGGTTCTTACAGGGGTTTAAGAAAATGTTGTGTAAAATGCAGCTTTACACTGAATGTAGGTTGTCGATGGAAATTTTCAGCTTTAGCTGCTCATTTTGGGTGAGCCTTATACATGTAAATAGATCCACTTTTGTTGGGGGAGGGGGGAAAGGGGACCTGTTGTGCTCACACTGAATTAGAATTTCTGGGCTAGCTGCTGAACTTTGTAACCTGAAGCATACATTGACTGTTCTGTCTCCTACAGATTAATAACAACAAAAAAAGACATCAGAAATAACACTGCCAGAGACAGTCAAACTGTAACTGTGGCTTCTCTCTTTTCCTCTGTACAGTATTAATAGAAAATAAACTGCCTTTTCACTGCACCTACCTCTGTGTCTCCGTGCTCAGATTCTTTTCAGTTCCCGCTTTGCCAAGATCTTCTGTATTGGGGTGACATGCTGTAATGGAGAAGGCTGTTCAGTAAACAAATAAACACTAACAACTGTTCTGAGTTCATGTTCTGTACTGACTGCTCCATGGCTGGTAGCTTTCACCCAGGACTACTAATTCACCTCACTGCTGCTTTCTATCCCATCCAGCCCCAATCTCTTATTCTATATATGTCTGGATAAAGCCATCCCTTTTCTTCTCATTTAAAGACTTTGCCTCACCTTAAGCACTTAGCACATTCTTCAGGTACTGAGAGTTTCAGTAAATCAGGACTAAACCTTGAGACAATTTACTTAGGTAGGCAGTCCCCTTGACGTTTCTTGTAGGGAAGTCTCTGTGGGTGTCTGGATTGAGAGCTATAGCACTTATCAAAGTGTTGGATTTTACTATATATTGACAGGTAGCGATCCTCAGTATATCTCTGTCCTCCCATCCCCTTCACTTTGGGAGTTAATAGCCACTGGGTTCTTAGTGCCTAAGGCATTGAGGTAGATGGTACAGTGGTTAGAGTACTGGACTTGAATCCTGCCTCTTACATTAATTGTGAGACCCTGGACAAGTCACTTAACCTCTTTCATATTCGGTTTCCTCATTTGTAAAAGGAAGAAGTGGAACTCAATGGCCTTCTAAGATCCTTTTCAACTTTAAATCAGTGACCCTATAAACTTTTGTTCAAACAAGACAGATTTAAACTGGTAAGCTAGATTTGGACAGAAAGAAATTGAGTCCCCTGGAACGGTCGTCCTTGCTTTGGGGACCACCTCAGTAAGCAAAACTGTAAAGCTGAGGTGTTTTAGGTGCTTCCAGCCCTGACAAAAGGGGCTAAATTGGGGGTTCTTAACCTATTTTTGTCATGAAATTCTTTGGAGGGCTGGTGAAACCTATGGAATCCTGAGAATAATGTTTTTTAAATGCATAAAATAAAATGTATAGGATTATAGAAGTAACCAGTTACATTGAAATACAGTTAAATGCTTCAGTGGATAAAGTGCTGGACCTGGAATCAGGAAGACCTGAATTTAAATGTGGCTTCAGATATTATCTGTGTGACCCTGGATAAGTCAATTAACCCCTTTCTACCTCAGTTTTCTCATCTGTAAAATAGTAACACTAATTACAACTACCTCCCAGAGTAGTTGTGAAGTAATATGCACAAAATGCTTTGTAAACCTTAAAACACTGTATAAATGTTAGTTATTATTAGAATCATCATCATCATTAAAAATATTTTTTAAAATACTGATGGACCCCAGGTTATGAACCCTTGGAGACAGACCCAGCATACTTATGGTGAAGTTCCAAGGTTCTACAGAAAGAAATGCAATGAGACAACAGTCCCTCCAGTGAGTGATAGACAGTAAAATAATTTTTAATTCTTAATCACTGAATAAAATGGGGAAAGGGTGATCTAATAGCAATTAGTATTTTATCCGATCATACAGATAGACTCTTCTGTTGGCTCCAGAAAGTTACCAGCAGTGACCAGGTGATTACCTCTGGCTGAATGGCATCCTTGGGTTCATTACCCATATATCTTATAATTGGTTTAAAATTCCCCTTGCACATCAGTCATGACTCCACTTTCCTTCAAGTTAACTAGAAAAATAGGATTTCAATCCTCCAAGAAGGGGGAATAGGCCTAGAAACAGGCCATACCAAGTCATTTGCTAATTAAAGAATGGCACTGTTGGGCAAATCAAATATATGGAGAGGCTTACTACTTTTGTTTTTCAGTCTTTTCAGTCCTAGTTAGTGTCTGAAGCCAAATTTGAACTCAGGTCTTCCTGACTCCAGAACTGACACTCTATCCACTTGGCCACCTCGCTGCCCCGAGGTGTACCCTAGGGTGGAACAAGATAAAGTTCTTGTGGTTTCATGAGTTTCCAGCTCTGCTTAAATGCTAATTGTTTAAAGAGTGGGGACAACATTTTAGATTTTAAAAGAATACAGAACCAAGGAGCTGAGAAAAGGCATCCTGGATGACTTAGTTGAGTCAGACAAAGGGAATGATAGACTATTTTAAAATTGCTGGAAGGACGTTTCATAGTCTGCTTTTATCATTTTAAACCTTCTTTTCTCTCAGGAAGTCCTTTTTTATCTCTAACTTTAAATTTTGCTCATATTCAATGTATAGCATTTCTATCAGATTTCATGCTAAAAGGACATAGTGGAGAGAGTAATGCACTTGGAGTCAGGAAGACCTGAATTTGAATCTTACCTGTGAACGTGGGCCACCTCATATGACCTTCTCTCAACCTCAGTTTCGTCATCTGTAAAATGGGGATAATCATAACACCTACCTCACAGATTTGTTATTAGGATCAAATGAAAGAATCCATGTAAAATGTTTCACACTTAAGTGGGTTAGGTATGTAGTCAAAACCATTCATTTTAGACATGAGGAAGCTAAGCCTCAGAAAAGTAAAATGATCTTGGGCAAGGTCACAGAAAGTGGCAGGACTGGGGCCTCAACTCCAGTTTTCTGGCCCCAGAGTCAGTGTTTTTACTGCAACACCAAGCTGTCACCAGTCTCCCCTACCACCACCACTCTCAGCCCCATAAATGATTAAGAAAGATCCTTGGAATATGGAATGCAACATGGAATTACAACTATTTGATAAATCAGTTATTCTCAAACCACAAAGATCAAAAGTTAACTTCTCCTTTGTCCCAGGCCTAGGATTGTAATGGCATAGATTCAGAGCAAAGAGGGACCACGGACGCCATGTAGTCCAACTTCCTCTTTAGACAGATGAGAAAACTGAGGTCCTGAGAGGTTGTCTCTTGCCCGACTTAACACAGATTATATGGATCAGTGGCAGGATTTGAACCCAGGACTTCTGACTCAAAATCCAGTGCTCTTGCCTCTACACTAAATATAGTAAAGTCAAGAGGATTTTTCAAAAATTGGACCTGTTATTTTAGTCATATAGGTCAGAGGTTCTTCATCTTTTTTTGCCATAGACCCCTTTGGCAATCTGGTGAAGTCTATGGACTCTTTCTCACTATGCCATTTTTAAATAATTAGGAGAAATGCTAAATTTCAGTTAGAGGTTAGTGAAAATAAAAATGTAGTCTTTTTTCTCCATCTTATTTCATGGAGTGCCCTCCCCCTCCCTAAATGTATCCGAGGACTTGGACCCTGGGTAACTCCCTTTAACCAGCTGCACGTTAGTATAGTCTTGGAAGAATTGTCTGGGGCACTGAAAAGTCAAGTTACTTGTCCAGGGTCACAAAGCCAGCGTGGGTCAGAGGTGGGTCTTGAAGAGAGGTCTGCATGACTGCAAAACTATCACTCCTTCTACTTACCCTGATACTCTATCCATTAGGCCTCATTGAGGAGCTCATCATAAAACTGAGAAAGAGAGAGAAAGTACAGGTTTTTATTCCAAGGCTCATCTAGAAAGTTGTTGTTGTTCAGTCATTTCCAACTCTTCATGACCCCATTTGGGGTTTTCTTGGCAGATGCTGAAGTGGTTTGCCATTTCCTTCTCCAGCTTATTTTACAGATGAGGAAACTGAGGCAAATAGGATGAAGTGACTTGCCCGGGGTCACAAAGCCAGTAAATGTATGAGGCCAGATTTGAGCTCAGGAAGATGAGTCCTTTTTGACTCCAAGCCCAGCACTCTGTCCACTGTGCCACCAAGCTGCCTCATCTAGAAAATTCCAAGTGTAAAAACAATTTTCTTAGCCCTTTCCACCTTTGGCAACCTCCCAAGGGACTGTTGCTCACTGGATTCAACTTTCTAGATGGCAAAAGGTCAAACTGTGGTACTTCATTTACTTCCAGGTTGTTGATTAATACCCCACACTGCTTCCTGGTCAGCTCCTTAGGCTAGGATTTTTCATTCCTGCATCTAGCACCCTGCAAAATGTCTCCTTTATTAAATAAGGTCTTCCCCGCATTCACCAGCCCACATGCAACTGACTTCTCCTGATTTCCTCTAACAGTTGCTATGTCTTGCACAAAGGCTGGCACCATTTAATATCACAGACTCATAGAATAATAGGCCTGGAAAGTATCCAGGTCCAACCTTTTCACTTTACAGATGAGCAAACCGAGACCTAATTTTTCCCACAGTGGCCCAGTGGCAGAGCTGAGCCTAGAACCCAGGCCTCTTGTCTCTTAAACTGATTTACTTCTCCTCTATCACAACAACAAAGCCAGATGTTTTCAAAAAATCCTCTCTGGGTCCATTGAATATTAAACTTTTTTTTGCTGGTATTCCCACATCATGGTTTTCCATAGCTACTTTTGTCCCTCCATGTACCAAATGCTTCTTTCTCTATTTTTATATGTGAAAAAATATCTTCAAATGCCTTTTAAAATTTTGTCCACAAATGGCATTTGTTTTTAGTAGGAAAGATGTAGGCTTACTACACTAAGAATTTCTTCCAGTTACTGTCTGCCTGTGTATCCACTTCTCATTTTTAGGGTGTGATGGCTTCACGTTAACATATCTTAAATCCACTTAGACATAAAATCAGAGAAAGAGAGAAAATTAATTGTATGTCTCCACAAAAGGAATAAGAAGAACAGGGACGTAGATTCCTTGAACATATTTTACTGACAGGGACACAAGGTCTAACAGAAGATAGTACTTTTGTAAAGCCTTGTTAAAAGTACGATTGATTTTCTTGAGATTCAGACTTCTCTGGAAAATGTGTTACTTATCGTCACCAGAGATGAAGGCTTTCTCATAACCATTTCTTTTATGTTTTTATTATTTCTAATCTAGTCTTGTGATTTTGTTAGGATAGGAGATCCTGGTGTGGAAACTGCCTCCACCAATGCACATTAGCAACTCAAATAGACTTTGAAAGTTTTATGGACTCATGAAGGGACTTCCTGGTGATCACAGAACTAGTATGTGTAAGAGTCAGAACATGAACCCAGGTCTTCCAACTATAGCCACCTTTCTGTCTACTAGATGAGTGGTTTTCAAAGTGTGGTCCAGGGACCCCTGAGGGCCACTAAGAACTTTTCAGAGGATCCCTGAGGTCAAAACTATTTTTATAATAATAGTAAGACATAGGCAGCTAGTTGCACAGTGGACCTGGAGTCAGGAAGTCCTAAGTTCAAATGTGGCCTCAGACACTAACTAGATGAATGATCCAGAATAAGTCACTTAACCTCTGTCTGCCTCAGTTTCCTCATCTGTAAAATGCTGCTAATAAAAGCACCTAACTCCCAAGGTTAGGATATGTGGATAAAAAGAGATAATATGTATAAAGTGTTTTGCAAATCGTAAGTATTCCATAAATGCTAGCAATTATTATTAATAATTTCTAATATGATACATTTCAAAAGATAGAACTCACACAGACAAAAAACTCTTTGGGCTTCTCATTAATTTTTCAGAGCTTAAAAAGGTAAAGGTGTAAGTTTAACTGTAAGTGTTAAGTGTAAGAAGTTTGGGAAACACCGTACTAAACTATGTATCTTCTCACTTTTAAAGTTATTAAATTTGGGTACTATGTTCTCTTTTTCTGGGCCAAAATTATATGTGCCCAATGGACCAGAACCCTCTAGTCTGGGGACCCAGAACTTTTCATAATTAGTGTCTTTGAGCAGGTCCCAGTTAATCCCTAGAGTTGAGAGATGGGCCAGGGAAGGAGAGGGGGTGAGGGGGAGGAGAGAGAGAGAGAGAGAGAGAGAGAGAGAGAGAGAGAGAGAGAGAGAGAGAGAGAGAGAGAGCGCGTGACAGAAAGTTCAGTAGTTAAGTGGGAATTTTCTGTCCTTTAGAATATAGCCTCAGGTTGTCCTTAAATGAAAGCATACCTCACACTGAAATACATGGATAGATTCAAAGGCATCTCCTAGATTAGAAAGTCTTATTGATGCTTGCTTTCAGCTCACAGGTTCAAAGTGAAAACCAGATCAGATCTGGAGTGAGCTTTAAAACATGCCAGTCTTAGAAGTAGTGAACTGAATATATCAACCATGAAGTTCAAATTCTTACTTAAAGACCTCCAATTCAGACAAAGCAATAGTAACAAGTTTTCCAGCTGAACAGCTGTCCCTGGCCAAAAAACTCCTTGATGAAAAGCAGATCTCATTGGCTTCTGCTGAGCTATAAGAGTGATTTTATGGGGCCAGATGTGAATTTCCAGACAGATGGTAGAAACTCAAGCAGCACACAAATACCAAGCCTACTTACTCATTGTGCCAAGAACCTAGCAAGGCTGTATTCAGTGCACCTGGAAATATGCAGCTACTGTTGTTTCATCGTGTAACTCAGACTTGAGAGTATGCGTGATTGCTGTTTGAATACTCTGGGGATTAGTAAACAAGAACAGTAAATACAGCAGGCTTGGTTCACTCACAACTGGAGAAATAAGCAGCCCATAGGGGTGGGAATAGTGGAGGAGGGACATTGCTCACAAGACCTCACAAATGTGACATTAGTGTTAACTTTCCATCTACTTCTATTTTCTTTTCTATTTAATGAGCTTTAGACACCCCAAAGACCAAGTCGTTCCTGGGTAGGCATTTAGGTAAGCAATATACTCTTTCAAGGAGCAGCGTGGTGTATTAGAATAAGCACTGACCTGAATCAACAGACTTAGGGACTCAAGTTTCTTCATCTGCAAAATGGGAAGACTATTACCTTACGCTGTAGCTGTGAAGATCTAATGATCTAGTTTGAGAAAAAGTGCTTTGAAAGCTTCAAAAGATTAAAGCAATGTAAACTATTATTATAATAGGATTATGCATCACTGATTCCGGAAATTAAGTGATCCTTGCTTATAACCTAAAAGAATTAATATTTCTCAGAGGCCCGGGACCCTAGGGAAATAGAGGCAGTGTGGCATAGTGAATGAAGGGCTGCCCTTGAGGCCAGGAAGACCTGGGTTCAAGTTCTGCCTCCAACGCATACTAGCTCTGTGACCATGGTTTAAGCATTTAATATCTCAGTGCTCTTGGTCATTCTCTAAGACTCTGAGTGCCGGCCTGTATTGGTAGATTGAGTTCATCACTAGGAACATCACAGGTACAATCCCTACCCCTATTTCCTGTTAGTATACGCAAATAAATCAGGCATGTATGAAAAAGCTATATAAGATAATAGAGAAACTGGAAACTGACAAAAAGTCTACCCATGTGATGTGTGGAGGTGGTATGGTTATCACTTTCAAAGGAGAACAGAATATAGAGGAGGGGAGGCTACTGATCACTGACTCTCTGTTCCAGACAACCCTACAAAAGGAACACTCTCTATGTCTACATATAGAGTAGACCCAGAACAATGCATCCATGAAGATAAAACCCTCCCAGAATAATTCAGAAGTATTATTAAAGACTTTACTGGGGGGGGGGGGCAGCTAGGTGGCACAGTGGATAGAGCACCGGCCCTGGAGTCAGGAGGACCTGAGTTCAAATCTGATCTTAGACACATAATACTTCCTAGCTGTGTGACTCTGGGCAAGTCATTTAACCCCAATTGCCTCACTTTAAAAAAAAAAAAAGACATTACTGGGGAAACCCATCCGTGAATTTCTTAAATTATATGCTCTCTTTATTCTTTAACTTTCCTAACATCCCTAATGTAACCTAAAAGTTCAAGAGCCAGTATTAAATTTTCTGGATGCTCCATTTCCCATAGCTCTTCTGGAGGAAGGAGAACAGGAAGGCCCATGGACCTAGAACCCTGTTGGAACTCTTGATAATTGTCCTAGTACAAAATGATTAATCTGGACAGTCTTTCCTTTCACATGGAATTTTGACATGGTCTAAGGCTAGCCTTCATATTGTCATGTTTGTGTAGTGTAGATACCAAAATGTCCTGGGACAGGATCAAGTTCTGAGAAGGCAAATCATCCACAGAGTTAGTTAATATATGAACCTATGTAATTATGTTAAACAGTGGATCAGGTATGTGTGACAAACAAACCATCAGTTAGCATATTGGACCACCAAGGAAAGTGATAGTGACTCTACAGCCTTGTCATGAGTGCTAGATTTAGAGTCAATAAATCCTGCCTTAGGCACTTACTACTGTTTCACTCTTGGCAAATCACAACCTCTCTGGGCCTCATTTTTCCTCATTTGTAAAATGAGGGGTTTGGATTGGATGGCTCATACTCCTGTGTTGAGAACCATGGAGAGGTCATGGGAGGTGGGAAGAATTAAGAATACAAGATGCAGAAGTTTAAGCTGCTTAAGAAATTTTCTTAGCAGGATGTGAAGAATATCAATTTCTTGTGGGCTAGGCACTGTTTTTGTTTATTTATGGGGAGGGAGGAGTTTGTTATGTGCCTCATGATACTAGGTCCTTAATAAATGTTCATTGTATTTAAATATGACTGCCCTCCCCTGGGAGACTGGAAAAACTCCCTTACAGGAAGTCATT